AATCACGGTGCAAAGATACTCTGAGTGCTCTGTTATACCTGACTATAGAACAAGCATTTTGTGTAGCCCAGCTGAAAGGGAACAGAGTAACAGGAGTATCTTGATCTTTAAACCAGCTGTCGTCCAGGGAGCATCAGTAAAAGCGCTTTAAGCAGTTTTGCCTCTTCCATGTGTGCTGAAATTAATACCTCTTTCCAATAACAGTTCATTGTTTTGTGTCTTTGGAGGCCAATGTGCTAACCCAGGACATGTGGGACCAGAGCTCTGAAGACCTGGTAATTGTTGGATAATTGTCTGTGTGTAACACACAAGGGTGCTGTCGTGCTCATGCTTAATCCTGTACTTTGTTCCTGCCTTACTGAAACCATCTTTGTGACTGAACTCAGACACTTTCCAAAATGCAAATCCCTAGCCAATATTTCACTTTGCTATTTGGCTTTTGCATCTTTTCCCTCTCTTCAGCATGCAAGAAGAGACAAAGGCAGATTCCCTGCTGCTCTCTGCCTGGCTCCTGCAAGGATCCCTCACACCGTAGCCCTTTATCCAGGCTCCCGAACCTCGTCTACGTCTTAGAGCTCATTATTAAACCTCAGTGTGAAGATACGGTTTGACACCACACCATGTACTAGAGCATTCACCAGAGAGTAGAGAGCATGAATTCCTCCCTGGTGTAGTCACAAAAGTTTTGAACTGTGGGAGGTTGCTTATGCAGCCCGGGGCTATCTGCAGTTGGAAGAGGCAGCCTAAAACCAGGCAAGCCATCCGGTGCTGACCTGCACTTTTGTGTTTCAAGGGATGAACTCTTGCAGAGTTCACTTACAGCTGCTTCTGCAAAAGCTTCCGCTCCGCAGAGTTGGATGTCTGAGTCTGTGTTAAACGTGTTTTTTTCTTGTGCCCCTCCATTGAGAGGCCTTTCTCCTGCTGTGTGGAGAGGAGCAGGATTACACACTGAACTGGAGAAATCATGGTCAAATGTTCGTTACCTGTGTCTTCCCTTTTTTGGTGCCCATCTTGAAATGTGTCGGATCACACTTTCTGGGGTGCTGACTCCCTTCCACAACAATTTGGTGGAAGGTGCAAATGCCATAACCATCAACTGCTCAAAGCTAGTGCTTTCACAGAAGAGCTTTGCTGAATCTTGTTGCAGCTGTTTAAAGCGCTTTCTGGGCCTGTTGGATGCATCTCTTGTACCATGATGATGCAGTAAGCAGAAGGGATCTCTGCTATGGTGTGGTGCTCAGTTATTCAAATTGAACCACTGTGTGCTGGGCTGTGGTTGTGCTGGCTGAGCCCTGACTCATGTTCCCTTCTTCTATGAGGAGCAGAAAACTCCAGCAGATGTGTAGGGCAGGCAATGGGGAGCAGTAGCTGTTGCAGTAATATTTACCAGCACTTGTCTTTCAGAGCTCTTTAGAGACTATTTTGAAGACGTTCATCTTTGGTTGTCTTGCTGGAAATCCTGGCATGAGTGCCATACTTAGGATTGCAGTGTTCTTGATGGCCGGTTTGTGGACATAAACCACAAGTCAAGGGGTTTTGTCCCTCCCAGCCCTGCTCCCACCCTGTGTCTCCTCATCTGCGAAGGGAGAAGCATGCAAATTTAGTGCAGGTGTTGAGCAGGACTTCACTGCCTCCACCCTGCTGCTGGCTTTTGCTTCCTTGGTTTTTAACCAACATGTGCAGAATGCACAATCAACATCTTGGAGAAGCAGCTGTAGGAAAGAGGAAGCTCACATAGAATATAAATAGCCAAATTTTAAAATGTGCCAGTGTAGCAGCTTGCCTGGCTCTTGGCATGAGCCTGGCTAAAGACTGCTGGGAAGCTGCGGTACTTCATGTGTGGTTTGCAAAGGGGGAACTTTGGGGATATCACACAAGTCAGCACGACAAAAAATGAATGAATTTGACAATCTTGAATGTGGGAAGGAAATGAATTTTGCTTCTACACGCATCAAAATTGGGTGTCTCCTCTGCATGTGACATGAAACACAGTGAAAACCCCTGCACAGTTGTGGCAATACTTTCCCCTGTAGTTGCATAGCAGCTGCCAGTGGATCATGGATTGATCCAAGCATATGTTGTCCTCCTGTATGATTTAATTTCTTTATTAATTTAATCGCATCTCTAAAGCATCTGATTTTTCTTGGTATTTGTGGCTGGGGTTTACAACTGCCCAGCCAAATCTCTTTTCTGAGAGGCTGTACAGCGGTCTGCTGGTCCTGCTGGACCCAGAGCTTTCCTCCAGCCCAGAGTCAGCATAACTGGAAGACACACAGGATAGGGCTGATCTGCAGGTTGGGTGATAAAGCCTGGGGGAGAGCCCGGGAGAGCTGATGTAAAGCATTGCTGGTAGTGATCCCCCTTCTCTGTCACTGCCCCATGGGCAGCGGGCTTGTGTGCTCAGGAGGTATCTACTCCTGTCACTTCCAGAGGACAGCACATAGCTGTGGACAGCAGGATCTGATGGTCTCTGTGGACAAACTGGGAAGAGTTTCCACAGCTTTTCTTTCGTTTTGCTGGAAACAGCATCTATAAGTGGAAGAAAGACAACGTGGCTGACTTGGGCTCAAGTTGAGTAGCATCACTGTAGGGGGCTGATTTAGAGCGGGTCCAAGGCTTTAGCATTGCTGGCAGCTTTCTCATGACATCCTGTCAGTCCCTCCAGTTCCCAGCTAAGGCACCTTGTGGAGTTGGGGGGTGACTAACCTGGTATAGAAGCGCCTCATTCCTTTGAGCTTTTGGTGGAGAGGAGAGGTGATGGGGGAGAAGCCCAGTGGTCTTGGCTGCCGGTGCCTTTAGCTATGTACCAAGCTCACTGATGTGCTTTAAACAGCTTCATCCTCCCACGCTGGGGCCAATGTCCTTGATGGCTGCTCTGGTGGCACTCCCAGCGCAGGTGTGACATGGGGCTGCAGAGGAGCAGGGAGTCAGGGTGGGCTCAGGGGCTTGTTCATGCCCCTGTCGGTGTCCAGGGTCTGGGTCAGCTAAGCAGGGGGAGGGTTGGACTTAGAGCTGCACTACCCCCAGCAGCCAGCATCATCACCTTGGGAGATTTATGGAGGCAGGAGGGAGATGTACTTTCATGTCATGTTATCTAGGAAGGTGCAGGGCATATGTGCTGCTGGGTGCCTTTTCCATTCTTGAAATTCAGACCTGTTTATACTTGAACATAAATTTGTGCCATAATTTATCCCAGAGCATAGAACGAGAGGGACCGGCACAGGTGTCCGGAAGGACGTCTGAGTCCGCTACCTTGTGCGGGTGCTGTCACGGCTGGTCTGGAGGCCAGTGAATCCCCGGGAAAGACATTTGATGATCACAGCACAGCTGGGGTTAGGAGCCTTACAAACCCTTGAGCTTCAACAGACAAAACCTCCCCATAGTCTGGCATGAAATGAGAAGTCCAGCGACCCTGCCCTGGGCTCTGTCCTTGTTCATTACAACCATGAACAACAAGCTTTTTAAAGTTTTCCCCTTACTCTTTGAGCTAGCTGTGGTTCCCTCCCTTGATTCCTTGCTCATAACAAGCACTTGACTTCAGCAGGGTGTGATAATAGCACGGTGACTGCTGCTGCGATGGCAGTGATATAAGATGGTGGTTAAAGAGCATGTTAGGTGCGCATTTGATGTTATCAGCTCAGAGTCACGTTCAGTGCTTTCTGCTCAGTGTCTCTTGAGCTGAGCAGTGCCATCTGAAGCCGGGGCCTTAGGTATGGCTGTTCCCATCCATGTTCATGGGGATCAGTTTGGGAGGATAGTATTTTGCAGGGAGCAGCACTGCTTCTGGGGCTCTGTCCTGGGTCGCTCCATGGCAGCATCTCCCCTGGAAAGCCTTGTGTGGTTGCATTGCTCAGGGGGTTTTGTGCTCCTGAGAGGCAGATTTCAAGGAAAGCTGTGGGCTGGCTCTAGCCCCTGCCTGCATTGTGATATGCAGAGGGGCTTGTCCCTGAGTCCCTGCACCCCAGCATGTGGTCACCTCCCCTTGCTGCTTACTGCTTCCAGGCATTGTTTGAGCAGGGGGCTTTGCTGCATGTTACGCTGTGTCTCGCCATCTGGCTTGGGAGATGGAGGGCAGGGGAGATACTGCAGTGTTTGAAAGGATCTGGGTAAGTCCTCCTTAAGAGAGGCATTGACTCAGCGGAGTGTGGTTGGAGAGGAGGAAGGAAACAGATTGTCCTTGTGGGGCTGGAGCTGCCATGGAGCCCCATGCTGGCATGTGGGGCTCGGGGAGACACATGCCTGGGCACCTGCCCAAAGCAGCATCCCCTCTTTCCTCACAGAATTTTAGACGGTCTGCATTCCACAGAGCAGAAATGTGAGCCCTGTGGCTGGGTCAGGCTGTGGGCCAGAAGTGCCTGTCCCCAGGTGTGTAGAGACGTGTCCCTGCTGTGCCCAAGCCCATCTCAGTGTTGTTCCCTGGGGTTTCCCCCCAGCTTTGAGCTCCCGCTTTGGATTTCTGCCTTCTGTGTGTGGCCAGCACTGCCAGAGCTTGCAGGCAGCTTGCTTTGACAGTTGTTATTTATTACTGTGCTGAGGTGCTCAGTTCCCACAAGGGCAGATTACTGAGAATATGGCCAGACCAGGCAGCAGTGTCACCTTGTGGGAAAGGCAAAGGCTTGGGGAGGGGGAAGCAGCTGGGGCTGGGTACAGGGGTGTGCTGCCACCCACTCCCCTCGCTGCCTGGCAAGGGGTGCCCATTCTACCCTGTACCTGGCGCTGGCACAGCCTGTGTTTGCGGAAGGGTTGAGACACTGAACTGGGGGACATGGAGCAGACCGAGAGCAGCTTCCTGAAGTCCTGGCTCTGCCTGTGTGCAGGCTCAGGTGGGCCCAGGCTTAATCTGGCCAGAAAGATGTCACCTGGTTTGCATTTCTGAGTAGCGAGGGAGAGTCTCACTGGCTGCCAGCTGCTGCCTTTGGCTTGCTGGGATGAGCCTGCAAGAGCATCTCTGCCACGCTTTATTCTCCTTATTTCATGGTGTATCATGTCCTTTCGTGCAGAGCTCCACACAGGAGATTGGAGAAGAGCTGGAGGATGGTGTGATCTACAGCATATCCCTCCGGAAAGTGCAGCTCCATCACACAGCCAACAAAGGGCAGCGATGGCTGGGGGTAAGCTAGGGACTCCACCAGTCTCCTGCTACAGGGTGTTTTAAAGATGTTTTCCTGCCAGAGTCAGGGCTTTGCAGAGTTGATACCAGCACATGTCTTGCCCTCTTCTTGCTCTCCCAAACACTCCTATCCTGGAGGGTCCTTCCAAGACTTATCTGGGAATCATGTAATTACTGGTGGGATGTAATGCATGGGAGCACCTGCTGGCCTCTGCCCCATGGGAAGGGACATGGGGGAAACAACCTAAAGCCCATTTTGCAAAATGGGGCAAGTCTGATTTGAATCTAGACTTTGGCAACCTTGAGGCTTTTCCTGGCATTTCCCAAATGCTCGAGTTTTCTCAGCTGTGTTGCTGGTATTTGGTGTCTGAAGAGACCCAACTTCCCTTTCTCAGGCCTGTCATGAGAGCCCCAGGCCCTGTGTAGGGTGTCCGTGGTCCCAGCCTAGACCCGGACAGTGTCTTGTGAAGCTGAAAGTGTTTGTCTTCACCCAACCTACTGGCTTCTGATCTTGTCCCCACAGTTTGAGAATGAGTCAGCCTTAAACCTCTACGAGACATGCAAGGTACGGACAATAAAAGCCGGGACCTTGGAGAAGCTGGTAGAATACCTGGTCTCAGCCTTCAAGGGCAATGACTCTACCTATGTCACCATCTTCCTGTGCACTTACCGGGCCTTTGCTACCACCAAGCAAGTGCTGGACCTGCTGCTTAACAGGTGAGGCTGCCCTAAAGCCCCAAAACGCAGCTGGGGTGGTGTCTGAGCCCCCTCAACAAGGAAAGCCCCAGCTTCTTTTGCTGCCACGCCTCGGAGGGCTGATGGGCTTCTCCCAGCTCCATCAATATGAAGGTTTTGAGGCAAGGCAGGGAGGATACAACCTCCCAGAGACCTGTGGCCCTTCCAACTGGTACCCTGCTGTGAGGTGGCCAGTGCTGGCTGCTTCCCTATTCCCATAACATGGTGGCTGTGGCAGAGAGGAGGGAACAGGACAGTGCATGGGAAGTTCATCCTGACCCCCTGGCAGAGCTGGGGGTGATGTGGAGGGAGAAGAGGCAGCACTGAGAGACAGCTGAGTCCAGGATGCTCACTGCTTCCTTGCTCTGCCCCACCAGGTATGGCAAACTCCATGTGCAGGTGAATGGGGACCATGCCAGGCATGCTGTGGATGAGAGGATGGAGCTGAAGAAGTAAGTCTGACTGCACTGTGGGTGAACAAGATGGGTAGCTCTGGTGACAGCTCTTTGGTTCTCGCACAAAGACATGTGTTGTCCCTCTTGTCCCAGGGGTGCTCCTGAGGCTCATGGGGGTGCACATGGTTGTCTCCTGGCACCTGGTTCTCACACAGGCTTGCCTGTGTTTCCCCCCACCTCCCTGCAGCACCATCTCCTCCATCCTGGGTGCCTGGCTGGACCAGTCCTCGGAGTACTTCCGCAACCCCCCGGACTTCCCCTGCCTCAAGCAGCTCATCTCTTACGTGCACCACAACATCCCTGGCTCAGACCTGGAGCGCCGAGCCCGCATCCTGCTGGCCCAGTTCCAGCAGCAAGAGCGGAGCGAGTCTGAGGTGGAAGGTGGGGATCCTTTTCCCGCTTGCAGGGGGTCGTTTGGGGCTGCGGGTGGAGATAGTGCTGCTGGTTCGCATTAAGGGTCTCCAAAACCTCAGGTCTTGCCACATGGCTGAACCCCCATAAACCCTGCCTGCGTTTACATGGAGGTACACCGGGAAGCTAATCCAACTGCACCAGAAGTGGAATTTCTAAATGGATTAACTTACCTGCCTTTAATCCTTTGCAGATATTTGTGTCCAGGTTTAAAATGACTATGCTTTTATCTGAGCCTTTTTTATCGTGGTGTGAAGCCAGATGGGAATTAAGAGCCCAGGTGGTGGGATGTGGGTGTCTGCAGGGGGCTGGGGTGGGTCAGCATGGGCCCTAGCTCATGGCAGCACTGTGGTGCTCAGCTTCACGCCATCTCTCACAGCTGTGGACCACAGTGGCTGTGCCTTCCAGCTGGTGGAAGAGAACGGGGTCGGGGACGGGAAGCCGGATTTCCTCTCCTTCTCCCCGGAGATGGTAGCAGAACAGTTCACACTGATGGATGCTGTGAGTATTCATCCAACAGCTGGATCAGTGGCGCTTTGCCTGCCCGATACCTGCAACTCTGGGCACAGGCCAGTCTCTTTCCAGCCATCTCTTCCTCCTGCCTTGTTCCTTTCCCAGGAAAAGCAGACACCCATCTCCATGCCTTTATCTTCCAGGAGCTGTTTAAGAAAGTGGTGCCTTACCACTGTCTGGGCTGCATCTGGTCCCAGCGAGACAAGAAGGGCAAAGAGCACCTGGCACCCACCATCCGTGCCACGGTCTCGCAGTTTAATAGCGTGGCCAACTGTGTCATTGCCACATGTCTCGGAGACCGGTCCCTGAAGCCACAGCAGAGGGCTAAAGTGGTGGAGCGGTGGATCGAAGTGGCTCGGGTAGGACAGCTCACTGTCCCTGTCAGCCCAAGGGCTGAGGTTTTGCAGTGCATGAATCCCAGCAGATCCCTGAGCTTTCTTTAATGCTGAGTCCTGTCATCTCCTTGTCTGCTCCAGGAGTGCCGCATCCTGAAGAACTTCTCCTCCCTCCGAGCCATACTCTCCGCTCTGCAGTGCAATGCTGTTCACCGGCTGAAGAAGACCTGGGATGAGGTCCTACGGTACGGAGCACCTGCTGGGTCCATGTGGCTGCTGGGAGGTTTCAAGGCCTGTCATGAGAGCCCCAGGCCCTGTGTAGGGTATCCATGGTCCCAGCCTAGACCCGAACAGTGTCTTGTGAAGCTGTGGCTGCTGTGGCCCTTGAATGTGTAGATGGGATCATCTCAGCTCCAGCACTGGTTCTTGGAGTATGCCCAAAACACAGGGACCAGTGTAAGGAGTCAGGGAGGAGACAAAAGTATCATGACATCCTTTCCATGTGAAACACCCTGCAGTAGCCCCCAAACAGCAAGGCCCTTCTAGAGCTATAAGCAGAGCTGGGGTCATTTTGGTGAGCAGAGGAGGAGACCCACTGTGACAGCACTGCTGACTTTTCCCCTGTTTTCCTTGAGCAGGGAGAGCTTCCGCACTTTCCATGAGCTCTCCGAGATCTTCTCCGATGAGAACAACCACTCGCTGAGCCGGGAACTTCTCATTAAGGTATGAGGAAGTGGCATCCATGTCTCCCTGTCTTTGACATGGAGCTCAGGCTAGTGCCAGCACAAGTTTCTGTAGTGTTCCAGTCACCGGGATAAAGCCTTGTCAGTGCTGCTGAGGTGTCAGGCAGGGGTACAGGCAGGGTGTGCTGGGACTGGGGTGCAGGCAGGGGTTTTGGACTAGGCTGGGCTTTCTGCTTCTCCACCAAAAAGTCAACACTGTCTGCAGCTTGCAGAGAAATATTCAGCAAGCAGAGACAAGCAGTGGGACAGGATCCAGTGCATCAGGTCACAGCTTCTCCCCAGAAGCAGCTGCATTTTAACAGCACAGTGTGAAATCCTCTTGATGTCAGGTAGGGCTGTAGGGTTTGTGGAAGGATGCAGCAAAACTGTTCTTCCTCCCCATGAAGCCTCTCTGCAGCTTCCCAATTTGGGGGCTAAGAGGACACAAAATGCAAAAGGGAACAAACCATTTCATTGAGAAGGTTTATACAGAGCTGGAAATGGGAGCAGCAGTTCCTGTTCACGAAGCCGCTCCTCCCTGTGAGCCATGTAAAAGCTCAGGTTTGATTTCTTCCCTCTTTCCCTCTGCAAGGAAGGTTGTACAAATAAAAGCAGGTGTGAATTTTAGCTCATCTGTTAGTGCAATTTCCCACCTGTGCTGATCCCCACCTCTCCCCACCATCCAGGAGGGCACGTCCAAATTTGCCACCTTGGAGATCAACCCAAAGAGGGCTCAGAAGCGGCAGCAGCAGCAGCGAGAAATGGTGAGTCTGGCACAGGTGCCGCTGTGCCCCCTCCCTGGCGGCTGCTCAGGCTGGTCCCAGCTCTCTTCTGACCTTGCTGTCCCTTCTGTCCCCACAGGGTGTGATGCAGGGCACCATTCCCTACCTTGGCACCTTCCTCACAGACCTGGTGATGCTTGACACCGCCATGAAGGATTTCCTGGACGTATGTACCTCCATTTCTGTTCTCCCCTTCCTCTCCTGTCTCTGCGTGGCCACCTCAGAGCCTGGGCTGATAAAAGGAGGGCTTGTCCTCCATGCATCCTACATCGGACACTGCATCCTCCACATCCTGTATTCAACACTGCACATCCACCTCTGTCAGCCCATGGAAATGGGCCAGTCTCACACTGCCCCTCGGCAGGGACACAGGCACTGCGGTGGCAGCGAGGCAGGAGGCAGGGAGGGATGAGAGCAGTATTTTTCTGCCTGCTGCACACTGACATTTGGCTCCCTCTTTTCCAGGGGGGGCTGATCAACTTTGAGAAGAGAAGGAAGGTGAGAGCTTTTCCCTGTTTGCAGCACAGCAGGGTGGAAGGAGGAGGCTGACTTGGTGCTAGCCCAGGATATGCCAGTCTCTTTGGGGTCAATCCCTCTCCTGTTTTGCTGTTATGTTTTCATTTTTGGAGAGGATTCTGGTCCTTTATATCTGCCTCCATACATGGGGCTGGTCTGTTTTGGAGGAGGCTGTGGCTGGCAAATAGAAGTGGTCTCACGGCCTCTATTTACTGCAGGAGTTCGAAGTCATTGCCCAGATTAAGCTGCTTCAGTCAGCTTGCAACAACTACAGCTTCACGCAGGAGGACCAGTTCGTGGACTGGTTCCACAGCCTGGAGCGGCTCAGTGAGGCTGAGAGGTGAGTGTGATAAGGGACGAAGGCCGTGCTGCTGCTGCTGCATGGGGAGGTCCCACCACTGGTCTCCTCCAGCTGATGAGCAGCAGCTGCCCCATGCTCCAGTGTCTGTGCTGCCTCCTCTCCACAGCCATGGCAGCATGGAGAACTCAAACCCTCATCTTTCCCCTCCTAGCTATGGGCTGTCATGTGAGATTGAGCCACTGTCAGAGTCAGCCAGCAACACGTTGAAAGCAAAGAAAAACACAGGCATCATCAAGCGATGGAGCGAGTGAGTCTGCTTGTCCCTGGCAGGATTGCAGGGTGGAGACAGGGGCCAACGTGGGGCATCTCTGGCTGAGCATTGCAGGGAACCAGGCTGGGGTGGCCACTGTCCTGCCAGCCAAATGCACACCCACTCTGCCCCCTTCTCACCTGCCCTGCATCTCTCCTGGCAGCCGGCAGCCACCAAGCACCGAGCCCTGCGCCAGCAGCAGCTCCCACTCAAAATCCTTTGACCAGCTCAAGTGCGGGCAGTACCTGTGCAGCGGGGATGCCACTGACTCAGTGAGCGTCACCTCTGCTGGCTCCAGCAGCTCCGATGTGGAGGAGATCAACATCAGCTTCATCCCCGAGTCCCCCGACTGCCAGGAGAAGAAGGTATGGGGCAGCTTGTGGGGTCCAGGCCTCTGGAGGCAGGTGTGGCCATTGCGTGGGGACTGCCCCAGCGCTGGTGCTGGCACTGGGTCTGGGGTTTTCCCAGGGGTTGTTTCTGACCCGCTGGGGTGAGGGAGGCCCCTGCCCTTTGCTGCTCCAGCAGAATGGCAAGGCTCTCGCACCTCTGGTGGCTGTAGTCATGTCAGTCCCCTATTGTCACAGGTCAGTGAGATCCCTCTGGCCTCCCTCCCTCAGCGCTGGTACGCCCTGTCTGTGGCCAATGGAGAAGTTAAACCCACTGTGTCCTCCGCATCCCCTCTCCTCCCTGCCCTCCAGTTCTGGGAATCCACCTCCCTCTCCTCCCTGGACACATCGGGCATCGGCTCAGGCTCCAGCAGTGCCTCGTCCTCTTCCGTCTCCTCCACACCAGTGACGGCCTCCCGTACCCACAAGCGCTCAGTCTCTGGCATCTCCAGCTACTCCTCCCTCTCGCTGCCCCTCTACAACCAGCAGGTTGATGACTGTTGCATCATCCGTGTCAGCCTGGCTGTGGACAATGGCAATATGTACAAGAGCATCCTGGTTAGTGCGGGGCACGTGTGGTGATGCCAGGAAGGGGTGGCTCACCCCACTCAGATGCAGGCATGGCCCATTTTGGGAGCAGGCCATAGTGAGAATGTTTTGCACCCCTGAGTTAATAATGTTCTCTGCTCACAGGTGACGAGCCAGGATAAGACCCCAGCTGTTATTCGCAAGGCCATGGCGAAACACAACTTGGATGGGGACCGGCCTGAAGACTATGAGCTCGTTCAGATCATCTCAGAGGAGAGAGGTGCGTGCTGGGGTGTGGGGGCTTTCCTGGGGTCTGCATCCCCAGCCAGGCATGCAGCCCTGCAGCCTTGCAGCCTGGGCAGCACCAGCTTGGAGCTGGACTTGGAAGTGTCAGCACCTGGAGCCAGCTCTCAGCCCCACTCTGGCCCCCTTCAGGGAAAGGGTGCCCAACTGACCCCCATCCTTGGTCACTTCCAGAGCTGAAGATCCCTGACAATGCCAATGTCTTCTACGCCATGAACTCTGCTGCCAACTATGACTTCGTGCTCAAGAAGCGGGGCTTCTCCAAGGGGGTGAAGATCAAGCACGGCTCCAGCTCCACGCTGCCCAGGATGAAGCAGAAAGGCCTGAAGATTGCCAAAGGCATCTTCTAGCCTCAGCCCCACTGCCACCCATCACCAACGGGGCCTTGGGGGCAGGCTGATCAAGGCTTGGCTGCTGCCGGTCCTTGTGCTGCCTGGCATGGCGAGAGGAGCAGCCCGTGCCCATGGGTCCCGCTGTGAATCGCCCTTCTGCACCAAGAGCCGGGCACTTTGGCAGCCGGTGTCGGGCTCAGCCCATTTCAGTTGGGTCCTCATTTCTGCACAGGAACGAAGCAGCAGGGGGCCTCTATCCCTCTCTCTCCCTCTCTCTCTCCCCCTCCCCCCTGTGTGACAGTAGTCCAGCCCAGCCGCTGGCCAGCTCTTAGCTGGAGCCACCTCTGCCATAGGTGCCTTGTGTCTGAGTGAGCCAGGGAGTAGTGACTCACAAGAGGGGCCATTTGCAAGGAGCAGAGCACAAGCACATGGTGGGGTGCTCTCCTTCACAACTTCCCTGGCATTGTTTTACCTCCATGTCCTTCCTCCCCGGGATAACTGGCATCGCTGTCGCCAAACATCTCTGCCTGTCCTTCCTCTGGGAGAAGCCATGGATGCCCTGGTCTGGGAAGTGAGCTGGAAAGGATGCAGCCCTGCACTGATGTTTGGAGCCCTGTGGAGGAGGGCGGTGTCCGTGCCATGATGGATTGGGTGCCTTGTGCTCTCAACAACTGAAAGCCTGCGTGATCTCTCCTCTCCCCAGTCCAGCGTGTCCTCAGCTGGACTTTGACAGCCTGTGTTCAAACTTGCACCAAAGATCAAACGCCAGTGTCTCTTCTGCCGTCGGGGGAAGCTTTGGGCCATATCCCCAGCGCTGCCAGCCCATGAGGAGGAGAGCAAAGTTCTGTCTGAACTTGTGTAAATAGGGACCTCGGGTCTGCGTGGGCAGCTGAGGAGCCAGAGCTCCCGGTGCCCCAGCTGCCACCCCTGACCCACAGAAAGTGCCACTTGTCTTGGGCTTCAACCACACTTTTTCAAACACTGACCATGGGAGAAGCAGCACTGAGACTTCTTTTGTATAAAACAAAACAGTTTACTGATTTTTTTTTTTCCCCAATATTTATTGGTTGTAAATAGAAGAGTCAAACTTGTACATTTTACTAATCCAGCCTCCCCGTGCCCTGCAGTCCAGTCCTCCCCACCCTGGTATTTAAGGATGCCTGGAGGGACAGTGGAAGCAGCAGAGTTGCTCTGCCATGCTCATGGGGTGCAGACCCTGCTGGCCATCCCCTTCCTTGTTTCTCTACCACTAGTCATTCAGGCAGGAGCAGAGGTGTTTGTTTTAATCACTGTAGGAAACACTAACCAAAAGGGGACCTTTTTTTACTCCTGCCTCCCTCTTTTTTAACTTTCAGAGTGCTTCCTTCCAGCGTATCGTTCCTGTTTGCCTCTGTCCATGCTCCTGGGGGTTGCAGCACCTCTTCTGTAGGAGAGGGGCCTGGGCAGTGCCTGGGTATGCAGCAACGCTGCATGGCCACACTCAGGGGGCTGAGGCTGCTGGCAGTGAGCTCTCCCAGCCCTGTGTCCCCTTGGGTAGCATTGCCCATCTCTGCACATGATGGGAGCCCCTGGCTCCCTGACACAGGGGTAGCCTCCTGCCTCCCACCCTGCTCAAAACCCAGCCCCTGCCCTTGGGCACCAGCACCCAGTGTCTTCCCTTTGCTCTATGCTGCCAGCTCCTGCCCACCCTGGGGCCATGGTGGTCCCCCTCCCACTGGTGTCCCCCAGCAGCCCACCGTCACCAGAGGGACTGGTTGTACCGTATGTATTTTATACCACTTCAGTGAAGGAGCACACTGCCTGGTGTGACTTGTACACAGCAATGTAATTAGTCTTTGCAATAAAATACTGATGCTCAAATGTCTCTGTCCCAAGCCAGAGCTTGTCCTCCTTCCCTAAAATGCTAGCATGTTCCTGGAGAAAGAGTAGTAGGGCTGACTGGGGAAGTTGCTACCTTACATGAACTCAGCTGAGCTGAGCTTTTGTTTTGTATTTGAAGTAAAACACAGGCTTTTTGTTTGAGGGACCAATACCTGATTTTCAAATGAAACCTATTCAAATGAACCTGTGAGTTGCTGGGAATTCTGCATTTTCTGGTTGCGTCCAGTTTACTGGGTTTACTCCTTTGGATATAAGCAATGGCTTTAAGAGCAAATGCAGTGGTTGGTCCTTATGATTCAGATACAGTGGCATCATTCTTTTGGTGCTCAGGGGTTTATTTCCTATCATGGCCAGCATGTTTATTTTCTATTCTATAACTGCACAAACAGCAGTGGAGATTACTTGGTATGGTTATTCAGAGCATGGATACTAAGGATGCAACAGCACGATCAAGAATTTCTCTGTGCCTGTGGCTATGTAGATCAATTTAAAGGCTAAGCTTTTGGAAATGAAACGATTGCATTGTACAGACAGGACTGGTAATGTTGTTACCTGTTCAGGCAGAATTAAACATCCAAATTGCTACAGCCTTCCAATACAAGGGAATTTTGAAAATAGCTGGAAAATAAATTAACTCTTGCACAAGTGCCTGCTGGCTCCTTTGGCTTCGGGCCTCCTGTTTATAGAAAGCCTGTGTTTTTCTTAGCATTTCCAAGAATGTTTATTCATGGTGCCTGCTAAAACCTGAGCACATATTCTTACATGATAGTGCTATGTCCACTGCATCTCTCCTTTTCTTCTTAGTGCCCTGCTGCACTGCACCGAGAAGCTTAAGTCCATTACACAGCCACTCGTGCCTCAAAATTCCCACATTGGTATGACCTACAACTTACCTTGCCTGGAAGTGCCCCTAGACAGACCAACAGATGTGCAGCCCCCCTTCTCTTCCTCCCCCACCCCCCAAAGTCTTAAAGCCATAACGATGCCTTTGTACCTACAGTTGCAGCCTGTGCTACCCTGAGGTAGAAGCACAAAGCAAAGCACAGGATCTCCCAGCGAGCCATGGTGAGCACACACCTGAGTCCTCAAATGCAGCTTCTTGCATGGAGAGACACATATGTAAATACATATGTATCCAGCAGCACAGCTAGGTGTCACTGTGTGAGAGCCCTGCAGCTGTTGCT